ATATTGTAATGTAATTGTCATTTTTTATAATGGCTTATGTAACTCGAAAGCTTCGATAGGATCAAAAAATATGTATCAATATTGTGAATGTATTTAATTATATCCGCATTTTTTAAAACTGAAATTATTGTCAAATTTATTACGATGAACGACTGTTGTTTTGTATAAGATCACTATTTATGTCATCTTTTATTTCAGTTTCTAACCGTCGCTACAATGTGATGAAAATTTTGCAGTCTATTCTGAATCTTCCTGCTTCAGATTGAAACTTGTTATTATTTTCTTTAGATTAAATCTGACATTTTGGGGGAATTAGTCGTGATAAAAGTTATATTAAAAATGGATAAACTTAAATCCTTTTCAATTGTATTCATCATGGCGTTAGTAGGTTGTATTATGTCTAGTTTTATCAAGAGTATTTGTGTCATTTTATTCTGTGGTTTTGTGGAGTTTGTAAGCTTTACTCTTCGCGTTACATGAAATAATAATGTATTTTTTCATCATGCACATATGTGCGTGTGCGCATGTGTGTATACCTATATATGTGTGCATGTTTGTGCGTGTGTGTGTGTGTGTGTATGTCTTTATATGTATGTACGTACCTGTATTAATTTCAAGTGCCACACGTAATAAACGCTTAGGTGATCATGTCTCTTTCGATTCATGACTGACTACGCAGAAGATATTCCCGCAGTTGGCTGCCGTTTCTTTCTGTGGTAGACTGGGTGCTAATCAAGGATGGCCTGCTATTCAACCCATAGCAGGGAGGGGAGGTGGAGGTGATATATTCATGCAGTCTTAAAGGCTATTTGCGTGTAAGTGGATTATTTTTAGTGGATGTAGGCATCGGCAAACTACATCCCAACAACGATATGGAACCTACCAATGACAGGGAACCCACCGACGATATGGTATATACAACATGTTATTATTCTGAAATAAAATAAAAAATTATATTATTTTCCTTTTAATATTATTATATATTAAAATATTTAAAAATGAATTTTGTTCATGTATCATTGAGGATTTCCCTTCAGAAGTGATTCACCAACGACATGTTGAAAATCAAATACAAAGATGGAGAATTAGCCGACTTTTTAAAAACTTCCCCTCACCAAAAGGACAATTTTGTTTGATATTTAATTCCAGTATTTAGTACAATATGAAAAAAAAAAACATTTTCAAAGATGGTGCATGCTAAATTGTCGGTCATATGGGATCAACGTTTACAGTGAATTTCGATTATAGAAAAACACATTTCGTTTGGCTTAGACAAAAAAAAAAGCCTTTCATTATTGACAATCTTTCTTTCCCTTTAATAATAACACTAAGATAATTTTTAGTAATGTTCCGAATACTTTCAACAATCGTTGGCGATTTTCAAGGAAAGGCGGTAAAAGTCGAGAATTAGCCGGCGATGAAGATCTTATGTAGTGAACGACCCGAGGTTTAAAGTGAATATGAGTTCAAATGCTCAAACAGTGGTATGGTTTTCATACAAATCTCAACAACGCCGCAGGATGCAATCGTCTACCCAGGATGATATTATGAAGAAATCATCTCTCTGACTAATTCGAACCGAGGTCTTATTGTTGGAACGCTAACACAACTAACCATTCAGCCATAATGATCCCTTATTAAAATTGCCTCCAATAACAGAGACCAACTGCAAAATGACAGCATTCACCGATACAATCTCAGCAACGCATCTCTATTTCGGGACAGATCAGTGCCTGGTGATGAAAAATGGATATTTTACAAGAATATAAAGTGGCGCATAAAATGTCTTCGGAATGAGGAACAAATTAAAGCACAATCCACAATGCAGCCCCACCCAAGTAAAGGTTTTGTTAAGTGTTTGGTTGGTTCTAAGCAATGTCATAATTACAAGAGACATCTGTTGTCAGCAGTTAGAGCTTTGAAGTGACGGTGAGGACAATTTGATTAATCACTAAGTTGGGTGTTTCGCCGTCGTGATAATACAAGGTCGACCCTTACCAACTTAGGTTATATCTAAAAAGATTGAATACCTAATTTAAGAAAAAAAAATTCACACCCTCTTTTTGGCTGCAAATCTGTTTTCCTCTGACTGACAGTTAATAGGACATATTTGATCGGCTTGTTCTTAAAACAGAGGAAGACTTGGAAATTACCCTTTCTGTATCCTTTACATTCGAACAAAATTAACAAAATCGGCTTGTGTATCAATACTAAAGAGTTAGCCATTATGCTGAAGAATCTTATTAAAAACGTTCTAATTAAATATTTAATACGTTTTCTCAGCTTCCATTTTGACACTTAAGAGATAAGAAATAATAATAGTAAAAAGGTCTTGATCTAAAATCCAACAATACCAAAACGCTCAAATACAGATACGGATAAAACAAACAAGTCCAAAAGACAGATTCTCTTCAGACCTTGATCATGATGAGGTGATAAGGTGAGGCAATCAATTTGATCTACGATACCCACTTGTCCTCAGAGATGCCAAAACATTTTCTTTACAATGTTTTCTCTTTCTTTTATTATCAAACTGAAATATATATATATATATATATATATATATATATATATATATATATATATATATATATATATATATATATAAATACAATCGAAAATTACCTAATATGGGGAATAAGCTTATTTCCGCAGGCGAAAATATAATTAGTCAGTCTTATTCAACCCCGGTATAGACTGAGTTCGTGTCGGAAATAGAAATTTAACTATGAAAGCTACAACAAAATTTTGCTCTGTAATAATAAATAAATTGAGCACTTGTTGTGGATCAGTTTTAATAAGCCCTCGGAACGAATCATTTGAAGAATTTCTGAACACGCTGTGTCCAAAAAGAGTCCCAAAAAAGTGAAAAAAAAACCGCAAACTTAACCTTGACGTAAAAACACAATAAAGAAAACTTAATAAAATTACCTTGGAATGCATATATATATATATATATATATATATATATATATATATATATATATATATATAAATTAGGTCAACATGTCTATGCCTCAATATACCTGTTTTAACAAATTTGTGCCTTCCAAAGTCCCCATTTTTTCAAATACCATCCCCGTTCTCTGAAGACATAAGCTCTCATCCCCTTCCCTACTGCAATTTTGAATCTGAATCTCCATTATCTTCTCACTTTCTGAATACATAGCATTAGTCATCTTCCCTTCCCCTTATTTTGAATTTGCATAATTAAACATTATTTATGTTCAGATTATTCTTTAAGCCTAGTTATTCATTTGTGTGATGTTCCGGCCTGAAGAGTTGAAATCGAAATTACGATTTGAACGAAATAAATATCACCATGGTCTTTTAAAGTACTCGTTTTCTTGATTATTATTATTATTATTATTATTATTATTATTATTATTTGTGTATGTGTGTGTGTTTGTGTGTTTGAACATGTCACATAGGGGGGAAATTAAAATTGCTATGCATTGTTGATTTCTGTGTCTACACTGTTTATATATATAAACACTTACTCTCCAATATCGATCTCCCATACACCGTAAATGTAACAAATTATAAACAGTATATATATATATATATATATATATATATATATATATATATAATTAGTTCTCGTGCCCCTATGAAACATTGAGGGCTTCTTTTTTACTGAGGACGTGCTAATAGTAATGTTTTCATTGCGGATTTGGATTCACAAGCGGATCCCCTAAGCCGCAAGTGTGCACACTTTTAAGATAGGGCGATCCGGTTTGAAGGAAAACTTTCCTTCTCCTGGACTGATTGCTACCAAGGCTATAGGACCTACTCAGTCCTGCTATTTTATCCATAGATGGGGGAAAATGCACATGTGAAATGTAATTACTAAGGAAAAATGTGTATTTCTTCACAAATGTATTTCACATGTGCTTTTTCTATTGATTCGTTTTCTCAACCCTTTGCATGTTATTGAAAGCTAGAAAATATTTTTAGATTGTAAAAGTTTGCATCCAAACGAAATCTGACCAAGCGTAGCAGAGATCATATGTTTACATATTTCTAGGATAGTGCGTTTTGGTTTGAATTTATACTTTCCTTCTCCTAAACTGGTTGCCACTCAAGTATAGGACCCAGTCTCTCTTGCTAATTTATACATAGCTGGGGGTGGGGAGAAGAGATGAAGTCATACATTTCCCAATGGTATTAGCACGTAAGTGAATTCAATGAATATGAGTAGAATTCGAACTCGGTTCTCCGATTCCTCAATCCGAGCCACTCCACCATGCCTATATATATATATATATATATATATATATATATATATATATATATATATATATAATTATTTTTTAAAAATTTATAACATAAATATGTTATAAAATCACTACAAAAATAGCCATTTTGTTTCAACACCCCGGTGTCTTATCAAGTGATGATGTTGAATCAAAATGGCTATTTTTGTAGTGATTTTATAATATATTTATGTTATAATTTATTTTTTTAAATAATTATATCTGCTCTACTTTGTATTGAGCACTCTTTTAAGAATAGTAATTGTTGGTTATTGGAATTCCTCCGTATATACCAGTTATATACTTGGTTATATATATATATATATATATATATATATATATATATATATATATATATATATATATATATTGTGTGTCTGTGTGAATTATGTGCAGTGAAGTGAGCGTATGTGTGTATGTATACGGAAGTTTTGCTGATCCCCACCAAACACACACACAATCACCCCTCCGTAGCTCATGATGATAAATCCCTTCCTTCTGTCGGACAAGAGTCACCGGTTTTGTGTTTCGGATAGGCAGGGCAGCACGTGTTATGTTTCTAATAACAGTCATTAAACGAAGCAGACTTTGGGTTGGCCAGGCTCTTTCTATGAGCCGAATGATCACTGGGTTTTTCAGTGACCATATCTGCCACGTAACATCACCAAGAGGGCAGCCATTTTGTCTCTCTACTTTTGCGCTTAAAAAGAGGTTTATGACATTTATGAACAAATATTTATGAACAAACTGCAAGATAGATAGATAGATAGATAGATAGATAGATAGATAGATAGATAGATAGATAATGTAGAAAGAAAGAAAGAAAGAAAGAGATTGTGATTGATAGACAGGTCGAAATATAAACAGAATGAAATATAATTATATTTTCAGGTACCCCCAAAGAAAAGCAATACCTAAGGTGTAAAATTAATTTTTAAAAATTAAAAATCTTTCTTGAAGCATTTATTTCATTCACTCCAATAGATTACATTTAATATTTCCTATAATACTTGCTGTATTTCAAAACAAATTTAACTTTATTGGAATTATTTTTTAAATCGCTAAAAATGGTTGGTTTTAGCCATTTTTACAAATCTATCAGTACAACGTAATTCTCTCTATTAAATATCTTTCAAAATAAGATATACTTTTCTGAAAGCTTAATTAATCTGACTTGAAACAAATATTACTTTTAGTTTAAAATATCGCAGAAAAGCATTTTTAACGCGTAGGTGGTTTTTTATTAGGTGTCGACAATTATCTCGATAGACATGTTTGGGAATTTTTTCTATGGGTCATATCTCTAAAAATGACTTGACTAATGTAACATGACCACCTTTTTACATAATGTTTTAACTACCTAGTAACATTAAAAATTTAGGAAAATATTCTCCATGTTCTAATATTTTAGTGAATTTCAGTTACTTTGGTTTCAAAATTAATATAGTTGGCGATCTCTCGTGTTTTCTGATAATGTCATGTATGGAAATCCGTATTTACAAAAAACAACAGTTTATACGCACACAAAAATTCAAAATTCTTTTCAACTACTTGGGGTCGTTGAATTGTTGTAAGCTTTGCCATTTATGATTAGTAAATATAGTTTTTCTTTATAATAATATCAGCTAACCGCTACAAATTAATATGGAATATTGAAAAAATTAAAACTTTATAAATTATTCTATTTAAAAAATGGATTTATACAACTAATTAAAAAATTTAACAATTCTTATAAAAATTAATCAGTCTTCTAAAAAGATTTTAAGAAAGTAATGTCCATATTATATCTTATTCATAAAGCAACTACAAAAATGTCTAATTAAATAATATCTTAGTTTTATTGAATTTTTTATTTTACGATTCAGAGCACATTTTCTGTAACTGGGGGGTCCTCTATTACAAAAAAAGCATTGATGATTTAAATTCTCCAAGGACTTTTGCTTATAACTAATATAAACAATAAACCGTACAAAATTTAATTTCTCGAAATTTCATAAAATGAAATAAGTAGATGTAATAATTATTTTAAGAAGGTTTTCTAAAAAAAGAAACCTTTCTAAAATAATGTAATTCATTAATGAATACGTCCTGTACATTCCATTAAAATCTAACAATTATTTGATTTTTACGAGAATGCCCAAATCAATGTGTTTTTACCGCAATAAGAAGCTAAAATTTCTCATACTAATTTATGGTCACCCGCTGACCCAGGAAAAAAATTAACCAAAATTTCAAACGCCCTGAAAAGGACAAAAAAATATAATTTAATTATCAAAAAATCCTTTGATGTTTCCTCTTTATAAGAACAGAAATATTTTTACGATAAAACTTTGTTTTTATTATGTTTGCGTCATTTTTTCATCATGTCTGCTCATTTTTTAGCGTAACTTTGGAGGTACTTAATATATTGAGATGGATTATCATACAAACTTTTCTTTGGGCAATGATTTCGATTTTGACTGAGAACCCCACTAGGTTAGCCATATTTCAGAAAATAAGATAACTTAATAAATATATACATAGCGCTTTTTCCATTTAATCATTAATAGTTTTAACCCATTAATACCCCCCCCACGCCCGATTTGGGAGACGGTAGCCATTAATGGGTTTATAGGTATCATTTTTTATAAACCTATCATTAATACCGGATTTTCTTTTCAAAAACCTATACTTAATACAAATTGATGGCAGCGGTGTGGACAGAACATGTGAGCAAGAAGGAAATTGTAAAGAAAATTAGAATGAAAGGGACACTTGTACTTAGAAACAAAAATAAACAGGTGGAATGTCTGGAATATATAATGAGAAAAGAGGACTTAGAGAATTTGACACTCACAAGACATACTGAGAAACAGCAAGTAACCAATCTAACGAATTTATGATAATAGATGGCAGAATTTGGGCTGGCAGTGATAGTAAGAAGAAAAAAAAACATTACTAGGGGCTACGAAAGATAAGAAGTTGTGGAGAGCTGTAATCACCCATGTCCTAAATGGACACGGTACATACAAGAAGAATTAATACCTGACTTTTAATTCCACGTTTTACACTCGGACTCTTGTTCTTATCGTCTTTACTATTAATACAACGTTTCGACCGTTCCGTCCCCTGGCCTTCTTCAGGTGTTTATCGATCTGGGCAAACTTCAGAGAATTTATAGCTAGAATCTACAGGAGTTCATGGCTTGGGATAACTTGTGTTGTTCTCATTTAGTACTGCTCAGTTATTTCTCGCCCTCTTTCCACTGAGATTATGTCTCCACTACCCGGCCCAGGAATTGAACTCACAATTACTATATTACCAAATTTATGAACCAAGGCTTTAATCCACTAGGCTAAGTAGTATTAAAAAGAGAACAAGACGAGATATCCGCCCCGGTATTTCTCTTATCAGAATTTAAAATCATTTTTCGTTTTATTTTTCCTCCTGTTTTACGGAGCGTCATTAATATGGCACACAAAATTTTCTACTATTGTTTGCTGAATTTCTCAAATAAAGTTTTCTTTATTATTTTAAACAATTTTAGACTCGTGTCTTCATTGTTTACATTATTTATATTCTGAAGATTGTCCTCAGCTTTGTTATTAGTATCACAACGTTTCAGCCGTTGTGCCCTCAGACCTTCATCAGATATTTGTCGATCCGGGTAAACTTTAGTGAATTTCGACGGGACAGTAGCCTTGGTTCGTGAATTTGGTGACATAGAAAAGAGCGAGAGTTCAATAGCTAGGTGGGGTAGCGCAGACTTTAGGCTTACTGGTAACGAGGCGGGCAATAACTGAACAGTTACTGATATGAACAAGATGTGATATCCCTAGTACGTAAACAATCTATTCCCGTTGATTTAATAAAGTATTTACTTCAAAGTTTTCTGATCGAGCGGCATTTGAAGAAGGGCGGAGGGAACAATGGTCGAAACGTTGTGATAATAACAATGAAGATGACGGAAACATGAGGACTAACTTTTTCCGCTGACATGATTGATTCATGGATTCGTTTGTTTAATGGCACATCAACTCCTTATGGGTCATTGAGTGCTGAAATTTAATTTTCTTTGGAGCTTTGAAGTAATAAAAATATTATATATGTTATTCTGCTTTCACAACTGAATGCATGGTAGATGATGCTCAGCTTTTGTGGATATACGTGTTTGCGTGGACATAATTACCAGAGGCGGTGATATGTGTTTTTTATGTTGTAGTTTTATTGACGTTATATTTTGGAATACAGTTTGATTTCTTTAAGAAATTGTCGGATATTATATGGATTAATGGATTAGGATATTATAAGGATTAATGTCATGAAAGAGTTTCTCCATTTTGGTAATTCTACTATAAATAGGAATTGTTGGTCATTTTTATATATAATAAGGTATTGCTGGTATTTTTACTATAAAAATGTATTTTTATACTTTCATAGTGTTTTATTTGGAGGAGGGTCGCTATTTGCCTAACAGGTGCTATCAAGCCCGGTTTAAGGTGGATCTCATAAAAACTTCCAAACTCTCGAAGAATGGCCTTGCGAAATTCTCTTTTAGCTTCTTGCTTTCCAATCAACTTTGATCTTCAGAAATTTAAACGCAATGTATGGTAATCATTATCTCTTGTCTTCTTAATTCTTGTTCTTTTATTGTTCTCTCTCCTTAATAGTGTTTTTTTTCTCATATTCTCTAACAAACAGTATCCCTTGTGTCTTAGTGGCTTTATTGCCTTAATTGGGGGAATTATAAAAAAAGAGTCCGAATGTAAATAATATAAATAGTGAGTTTGATCTTCACGATTTCTTCATTCACATACGCACATACACACAGATGTACACACGCATACACATAACTACAGACACGCATTTCTAAACATATACACATACGCACACTCACACATAGATGCGCACGCAAGCATAACTACACGTATGCACATACATACACTGAGGCGTGTACAATCACATACATGCACACATACACACGTAAGCGCATACATAAACGTATATACATACGCACACATATACATATATACATGTGCACACATAACTAAACGTACGTGCATACACACATGCATCCAGATGTACACATGCACATACACACAACCAGGAGCATACCGAAACGTATACACATACGCACACACACACATAGATACGCGAATATGCATATCTATACATACACACATACACCAAGACGTACATACATACACACAAATGTGTGTATGAGAGAAAAGAGAGACAGACAGAGACAGACAGACAGAGGGTGATCGTTGTAATTCAAGTTGCATATTCTTCCTGACTTGAATTGAAACCAGATGTTAGTCGAGTGGAAGAAAAACAAGAAAAAACTTTGAGATAAGTGGCATCCATAACAGTTTTTCTATTTTTTATTATATGTGTACCTAAAAAAACAAAAAAAAAACTTGTTTATCAGACAACTTTAATACATAAATGACGAAGATAACTCCTCAAAATGGCGAAGATAACTCCTCAAAATGGCGAAGATAACTCCTCAAACATGCTTTGTATGTAATCAATATTCGAGTAACAAACAAAACCACCCACATCTCTTTTTGTTAATCAAATATTGATTACCGCAACGTAGGTTGTTTTGTTTTTTGGGATTTTTTTTCGTTGAACTTACCATCATCTGTCATGCGTTTTTTCATTGACTGCAAAATAACCTCACACTGTCTTAAAGAATACATACAATCCAACCGTTTATTAAACCGGTAGTTTGCAAATGTCTTAAAGAAATAACACAATTTTTGGATCATTATACAAATGCGGAAAATAGTAAATTGTCTGAGATTCTGAAATGAAGTATTTATACACTAATACTATTTATCTAGACTGACGTTTTCAAAGCAACTAAAGATCAGAGTATAGTATCTGTGCCTGATTGTCAGCTTTTCTCAGCTGGTAGCAGTTACGCTTT